TTGTAATTCGAAGTGGCGTAAAATCTCGGAAAACGTCAAAAATGAATTGATCAAAAACATTATTAAAATTTAAAATTCAAAATACACATTAAAATTGAAAAATGAAATATCAAAAAGTTATTAATAAAACGTGGAACAAATAGACGCAAAATGCACGACTGTCAAATGTAAAAAGGGAAAACCCATTTTTGGAGCGAAAACACGATTCCCAAAACTTTTAAGATATACAGGCTGTTTCAAATTCGATGTCCGAATAGGCTAACTCGGAAACTATAAAAGTTAGAAAAAAAGTAGCATGATCTCATTTTTTGAGAAACTACTAATGCCGAAAGCCTCACACCGCTATCGTCTTTTGTTTTTCTCCTAGAGGCCAAAATTGAAAATATTATAAAACCAACAAGTGCAATTATCTTGGTTATTATTATTAGGTGGAGTATTATAACTCAGACATTATATGGACATGAGACTCCGGTAAAATAGGTTTTATGAATTCAAAATGTTTTTTATTATTATTGGTATTAAATTGTTTATGACTGTTATGTCTATTTCTTACAGTATGAAAATTATTTAGTTTATCCTTTGCCAATCTTTCCAGTTTTTGTTGTTTTGTTTTCTTACTTTTCATTGTGTGGTAGAGTACTTCTTCATTGAATCTTCGGGTTATTTCATCAAATTCTATTGGATGTAGGGTTGTTGATAATTTTCTGTGTATACATTTTAGGAGTGATTCTTGCTGGGAAAGTCTTTTATATTGTATTTTGATGTTCTTCTTTATCAATGTACGCTCAATGTCCTCCTGTTGATTCTTAAATATTTTTGGCACCTTGATTTTGAATACTTTCGGTGTGACGTTATGATGAATGGCTGCATGTAGGAAATTAATGGTGTCTTTGGTGTTCTCTCGTGTTTTCATGGCACTTCTCATAGTTCGAATCCAAACGGATAACTCCGCATTAAGCAATTTGGAAATTTGTGATTCAATGTTCATCGTAAAAATTATCAATTAAAAGCCAGTTATTTACGATGATAAATGATTTATTTTTATTAAAACAGGATAATTCGGTGCAACAATGTTTCACCTGATAATCCATCCTTTATCAAGCACAACTATAAGAGGTAGCAGAGAGAAAAAATGTTACAATTAGTAAAAATAATATAATTAGTAAAAAATATTACAATTAATAAACAGGAAAAAAAAACAGGAAAAAGAAACATGACCCATTTTGTAAATTTTAGTAAATTAAGAGAAATATTTACCGTCAACGAGAGTGCCACAGATCAAGAGAGAATATTATCGTATGGAACATTGGATGTTTTCGGATTAATTTCACCACAATAGGAAATAGTACTTGAAAGGTGACATCCTCCATGTTTAAAATAGAAGTGATGTGTTTTAGCGGTGTGAAAACAGCACGCCAAACATAGCACTCCATTTCAACGAGATCACTCGGTATACTGTGAAGTCGGTTTCACACACTCCAATTTGTAAACAACAAAACTACAGAAAATTCGACGATTATATTGATTCCAAAGATCGATCAATTTGAAACACAGCAATAAATACAATTGAAAAATTAGCGTAAATAAATTGTATTGCTCCGATTTCGTAAAGGTTGTCTTACCCTTATATTAAAAATTATAGCCCTGTATTAACGACGGCAGTCCCCAAAGATCTGATAGTTGCTAAATATACCGAAACATACCACCTGTCGAATAGCGTGGCCAGATTTACTTGCTCTGACTTCCTAAGGGCTCTTTTATTCACCCCCATATTAAAAAAAATCGCCCTGTGTTAACGATGGCAGTCCCCAAAGATCTGATAATTGCTAAATATATCGAAACATACCACCTGTCGAATACCGTGGCCAGATTTACACGCTCTGAGTTCCTAAGGGCTCTTTTAATTACCCCCATATTAAAAAAATTCGCCCTGTGTTAAGGACGGCAGTCCCAAAAAATCTAATAGTGGCTAAATATACTAAAACATCCCACGTTTTTATACTTTATATTTTTATGCTGAGCATTATTGCTATTCGTTGCTAACACAAATATATTTCATGATACCTAGCGTTTATTAAGCTTTGTATTGTTGCCAAATATAACCAATTATTTTAATTATTACAGTTCGCAAAATTCCTGATATTGTATAAGTAGAGTCTTATCTTTATAAGTTAATTTTCGTATGATAACTAAAAATAAAAGTCAAGATAAAAGTTTACAATGTATATATTTTTAAATGTAAAATTATAAAAAAACGTTTCAATGAATGTATAAAATAAAATGCATTCTACAGGGAAATCTAAGTTAAATAACTAAAAAAATTTGAAACAAATATCAACGGCAGATATAAAGTTGGTAAACTTAAACCTACTGTCATCAAAATAAACAGCAATTTCTGTAATACAGTCGTCCACACCAAGATCCGGAATTACAATACGGCTATAAAAGATCCTTAACAATAGAAGAGGCAATAGTTTTATGATGGTGTACATAAACAAGTCATAAATAAAGAGGTATCTTTTGGGTTCACACAAATCAGGCATGGCATAAGCAACTTTTTTGTAATGTCACACATTTTATTATTCATTAGAAGAATCAGATAGTAATGAAGAAGTCCTTTCCGATAGTGATGAAGTTAGAGCAAGTAAATCTGGCCACGCTATTCGACAGGTGGATGTTTTGATATATTTAGCAACTATCAGATCTTTGGGGACTGCCGTCGTTAACACAGGGCGATTTTTTTTAATATGGGGGTGAATAAAAGAGCCCTTAGGAAGTTAAGCAAGTAAATCTGGCCACGCTATTCGACAGAGGCGATGTTTTAGTGAATTTAGCAACAATCAGATTTTTGGGGACTGCCGTCGTTAACACTGGGCGATTTTTTTTTAATATGGGGGTGAATAAAAGAGCCCTTAGGAAGTTAGAGCAAGTAAATCTGGCCACGCTATTCGATAGAGGCGATGTTTTAGTGTATTTAGCAACAATCAGATTTTTGGGGACTGCCGTCGTTAACACAGGGCGAATTTGTATAATATGGGGGTGAATAAAAGAGCACTTAGGAAGTCAGAGCAAGTAAATCTGACCCCGCTATTCGACAGGCGGGATGTTTCGGTATATTTAGCAACTATCAGATCTTTGGGGACTGCCGTCGTTAATACAGAGCGAATTTTTTTAATATGGGGGTGAATTAAAGGAGCCCTTAGGAAGTCAGAGCAAGTAAATCTGGCCACGCTATTCGACAGGGGCGATGTTTAGGTATATTTAGCAACTATCGGATTTTTGGGGACTGCCGTCGTTACCACAGGGCGATTTTTTTTAATATCGATGTGAATAAAAGAGCCCTTAGGAAGTCAGAGCAAGTAAATATGGCCGCTCTATTCGACAGCTGGGATGTTTTGGTATATTTAGCAACTATCAGATCTTTGGGGCTGCCGCCGTTAACACAGGGCTATAACTTTTAATATGAGGGTAAGACAGCCTTTACGAAATCGGAGCAAGACAATTTATTTACGCTAATTTTTCAATTGTATTCAATGCTCTGTTTCAAATTGATCGACTCTTTGGAATCAATATAATAGTCGAATTTTCTGTAGTTTTGTTCTTTACAATTTGGCGAGTGTAAAACCGACCTCACTGTATACCGGGTGATCTCGCTGAAATGGCGTGCTATGTTTGGCGTGCTGTTTTCACACCGATATGTTTTTGAATTCTGGCTATAAACCTGTTACAGTTAGGGTCCTTCCAAAATATTTATAACTGCATTTGCCAAGCCTGCCTTTACACCTGCTTTCAAAATTGACCAAGCGTGTTCAATTAGCTTTAGCATTGCACTGTAAGGACTTAGCTTTACAAGTTTATGATGAAGAAATTGTTGTTCTTCAAACACTTGTTCAAAACCACAATGGCAAGGAGCATTATCAATGACGAAAGCCACTGAACATTACCTATCTTGAGGTGTCCTTAAGCGTTGCCTAATAAACACATTAGCCTTTTTTCTTTTAAATGACCCCTCTTTAATTCATGATAAATCAATACGAAGCTACTGATACATCAGATAAGATGTCTTATATCTCTAAACAATCTCATTTCATAAAATTAACGGTTACGGAGGAACAATAATTTTTTCTTAACGTTACTTCTAACAGACGTCAATTTCAAGACGAGAATTTGAACAATTTTTATCTCAGAAACTATTCAACCGGGAATCTTAAAATTTGGTATAAGCGAACCTCAAACATTTCCTTATAACCTCAAAAAAATTCATTTCTCAAATCCCAACCGTTTTAGAAAACACAATCTTTTTCGTTAACCGCTCTCAACGTTTCACACCACATTTACGTAGTTTTTCATAAGATATTTAATTTTAAATCCTTTTGAAGCTTAATGAGTACACATTCCTTAAAACTAAAGGATCGTTATCGCTCTGAAAGTAAAAAGTTAATTACTTCAAAAATGTATTTTTCCATTTCTTTAGTTATTTTTCACTTAAAAAAAGATGTCTTTTTAAGTGTTTTTTTCAAACAATTTATAAGTTATTTCCTCTATGTATAAATTCAAAAACTTTAAAGTGCTTTTTGCGCCTATCTTCGTAACTTAAAAAAACTTGGAAAACCACATTAAACTTGGTAGTATAATGAGTGACAAAGATATTTTAGAAAAAATTAAAGCTTTTCTTGAAAATCAAGATATTCATCAAAACATAACCTCAAATAATTTACAGGTAACTTTCAGTTATAAGAGAACATACTTAAATGCTTAAAATAAAATTGTTTTAGATGGTTGAAAACACAACTCATAGACCAGACTTTACCATTAATAACCAAAATATTGATGATATTGTACAAAATATGTTAACGACTTTTATGCAAGAATTAAACCATATTAAACAGGATTTTGAGAATAAAATGGAAAAAATGATGCTGGAGTTAATATCTAAAACTGAGTATGGAAAAATTCAAAACGATAAATAAAATTGATTTAATTTGAATAAATCAATAAAATACTAAACTAATAACTTTTATTTGATTATAATTTTAAACAATTTTAACGCCATTACAAGATGTATCGGATTATAATTAAAAAGCGTCTCTTTACAACGTTTTAAATCTGGCACCGAATCCATTGTTGTACTTGTGTTTCTAACCCAAAATTGCAATTCATTGTTTGCTAAACCAAGTACTCCGTAATTATTACAATCCAATGATACAATATGAAGAATACTACTTCCTAAAATTATTAAAAATGATTCAATTTCTTTTACAATTAATTTTAATCAATTTATCATTAGTATTTATGTAATGAACCATATTTGGATCTCTATCACCGGTTATTGTTATTTTAAACACTTTTTCACCTGGTTTTTTAATAAAATCAACGGCTTTAAGTCTCGAAGGTCCAATTTGAGTTATTTTACTTGTTACGCAGCAATCGTTGCATTTCAATGAAGAGGCAGATAAGTACCAAGTATTCCAACACTAAATAATAAAAAATTATTATAAAGAATGGAAATGACGACTTTCTTAAATTTATTATACCTTGGCATTAATATATTGAGCTAAAGCTGGTAAAGGTGTTGTGCAATCCTCGGGAAAAGAACATTGCACTAAACCAATAACAAATAAAATTGTTGTTCAAATCTGTTTAAACCACATTTTGTTATAAATGTTTAATCGGACTGATTAAAAGATTTAATTTCAATTTCTTTTAAAGCTGCTTGAGGTTTTAATTAGGAGAATTCTTTAAAAACAAAAACGGTTCGTTATTGTTTTTAAAAACAATAAAAAGCATACTTTCCGTTATTTTTAGTAATTTTTTAGTGATATAACACCAAACAACGTATACAAACATTCATCGTATCGTTTCCACAATGTCCGTTTTTTAAATGTGAGTTTTATGAAGCTGTTAAACAAAATTCTGGGTATGCTCTGATTGTAAAAACGAAGGAGATGGAAAATATTCTGAAGATGCCAATGAATCGTTCGAGCTCCTTGAGCACACATTTTCCTGAATCAAAAGTCTGTCCTAATGCAGACGCACATCCCAAAGTGATGGATATCATCCGGATATCAAGCCCTTAGAAACACCTGGAAGGGGTGGAATTCTGCCTATCTTTCCGGAAAAAGGTATAGAAGACCAACTCCCAGTAATAATATAAGCTTCCACATTTGGGACCTAAAGCTATAGGTCCCAAAGGTGGAAGGCATTCAAACGCCGATCCCTAGGCATAAAGGCCAATTGGCCTAACTTCCTTTCTCCTCAAAGGGTCGGAAAAGGTACTCGACCAATACCTTTGGAGTGGAGTGTCTGTTGACCAAGCAAACATGCTTATCAGAAAGCAAAATGAACAATTATTGCCCTTCGTGCTTTGACGAGCAATTAAGAGGAGACAATTGTAACCAAAGAGATAGTCCTATGTGCATTCACAGATATAGAGGGAGCTTTTGATAACACCTCTTATGAATCCATAGTGAAAGCTCTAAGCGTAAAAGGTATGTTTCGTCCGTCGACGAGTAATTGGTGTATAGCTATGCTGAGAAGTCTGCAGATCACAGGTAATTTGGGTGCCGAATCGCTGACTATTCAGGCACTTAAAGAATGCCCCAAAGGGTGAGTGCTTTCGCGTCTCCTATGGTTCCTAGTACTTGACGACTTGTTGAACAGCCTAACTGAGAATGGATACAGGATTCAGGGACATGCAAACGATCTGGTAATCACAATACGAGGTAAATATGATACAATCATAACACAACAAAGTAGAAATAGTCCCATTCACTCAGAGAAGGAAGCAACAACTGAGAGCACCCTCTATTGAGAATCATTATGGTTAACCGGATCTGCCGCAGTTTCTTTGTAAGGGTCTTCAACCACGAACTGCTCGCTGGGCCTATGTTGCAATAATTAAACCCATGATCGCCTATGCTTCATTGGTTTGGTAGTAAAAAACAAATCACAAAATGGTGCAACAATAAGTGGCGTAAAAATCCAGCGGCTTACATGTTTTAATATAATGGGTGCAATGAGACCTTGTCCGACGACTGCTCTTGAAGCCCTACGCGGTCTCATACCAGTTCATTTGTATATACTCCTACAAAAGAAAGCAGTTTTGAGTGCCTTATCACTGAAGACATGTTCTTTATTCAAGCTGATGCAGGGTAACCTCAATCGTCAGGGACCCATGTCTAAATCACTTGATTCAAATTAAACCGAATCATATACCGACAGAATATAATTTCGATCGGCCATATAAGGTCATGTTTAGAAGCAGGGAAGAATGAACGAAGGGTGAGCCTCAAATCAAAAGAGGAGTGAAATTTAATGTAGAAAATGACTAATGACTGATTTTGTACTTTTTTATTGGTTTTATTATTATATAAAATCTGCTTTACATGTTTCGACCATCGGTCATCTTCAGAAGCGCTACAAAGTGGACGAATTGTAAAAGTTAGTTACAAAATTATGATTCAAATTAATTTACTCGTCATTAATAAAAATTGGTGTTAAAAAATAACGATGTATTTCAAACATGTTGCAAGTTCGCACAACAAATAAAACTTTTCATGTAGAAAATATAAATGTAAAATGTATAATTTAAAATTTAAAAATGTAACACGTTAAAATAAAATATGTTACGGACGTTACAACATGATGTTACAAAATAAAATGGATGAAGAGCAAGATATAACCTTTTTTTTTGTTGTTTGTTTGAAAACCAGAACACCAAAATATTAAATGCGCATGTGTTTAATATATACGAAAAATACTATATGGGACGTTCAGAAAAATTATTATTATCATTAATAGAGCTTGTAAGTATTGAATAATACTTGCGGGTTCGCCATCCGCGACCGCCACCAATATTCACTCTTGGGGGCAGGCTCGCACGACAGCGTCCATTTCCCTTTTTTGGTCTTCAGGGTCGTGGCAATAAAGGTATATATTTTGTCCCACGCTTCTTCACTGTTCATCATCAGTGTGACGATGGTTTATGGTGCTATGGGGCCAATCCTTCTCTTAATTCCTCCCATTTTACGCAGCGGAAAAAGTGTGTTCGTCGTCGTTGGTAGCCGAGTCCGAATAGGTCCACTTCTTATGGTATATAGGAACTTATTGAAGTACCCATGGCCGGAGAAGAATTGGGTAAGAAAGTAGTTAACCTCCCTGTAGCTTCTCTCTTTCCATGATGCGATGTCAGATATTAAGGGTGCTGTCCATCGTCCCCTCGCCTCTCGATTCCATCTATGTTGCCACTCTTGATACGTTCAGGTCTCTTTCCTGTGTTTCTCCCTTTGAGGACGAGTTGTGTCTTCTTTCCAGAGCCATGGGGACTATCGAGATTACGCCGGCCATCACGAGAACTGCTGGGCCAGACACCGTTTGTCGTAGTTCTAACAGAATGTCGATCCATCTCGCCGAGTTAAATGCATTTCTAATATCAAGGGTTACCAGAGCGACAATAGATCTGAAATAACCATTTATGCGCTGCGTCTCCTGGAATGTGTTGAGAATATCGCATATTGTATCGACGGTAGATCGGCCAAGCCGGAAACCGTACTGCCTCTCGGAGATTCCGCCTGCTCTTTCAATACTTTTCTGTAATCGTATTCTAATAAGCTTTTCGATGAGTTCTCAAACGGTGTCTAACATGCATAATAGGCGGTACGTTGGTAATCGCGTATCGCCGTCGACGATTGAATAAGACGTCGACGATTGAAGCCATCGTCGCGACATCAAGCTCTGTAAAAGCAGAAATATGGCCTAGTTTCCTCATTACAATTCTGTATCCGAGGCCCGAGTGGTCGGGATTTATATTACTCCGGACTTCCTTCCCCTTCATACCTTTTCTTTGTGCTATGGTTATGCAGTTTCATTTTGAGCATTTCCTGAATCACGCCTGTTGATCCTAGTCCTGATCCTAGTCAGTTTTCTTCGGCATTTATTGCACTTTTTCTTTAGCTCGGAAATTTCGGGAGAAACGTCGTTTTCTTAATGGTTTTGGTATATTTCTTACGAGGCATGCTGCCCTCGCACGCGCGCTCTACGAGCGCCATCGTTTCTCGCACCACAGAATTACCACGGATTTCAAGGTTCATGATGCCTGCCTTACCATCATCGATGGTAGCAATAAAGGCTTCTACGTTCAGTTTAGTGCCATTTCATTGCGTAGTACTGTTATTTCATTCGTTGTTGATTTCGTTCTTGAGCCTCCACGATATCATAACTGATGTACTGGCCATTCCCTCTGTATTCCTCCAGTACCCTCCAGTTTCGAACGCGACCAGCAAAATTTCCAGACGCCATAGTGACGTCCGGGATCGTCTACTTTACGAAAGGTAGAGATATGGCCAGTATTCATAACTGTCAGCTCAGTTCTGGCGGCAAATTCCAGTATCCTGCGACCTCGTGAGTCAGTATTTCCCATGCCCCACTCGATAGCCCTGGCGTTCAGGTCTCCTGCAAGTAATAATTGCAAGTGTTCTGGTTTTTGAACAAACAACAAAAAAAAAAGGTTATATCTTGCTCTTCATTCATTTTATTTTGTAACTGCATGTTGTAACGTCCGTAACATATTTTATCTTGACTTATTAATTTTAACGTGTTATATTTTGAAATTTTAAATTATATATTTTACATTTATATTTTATACATTGAAAGTTTATTTTTTTTTAACTTAAAAAATTATTTTTGTTGTTAAAATATCTTTATGATTAAACGGTTCGTTAACAATCAAACAAAATTTAGAGGTTATCTTCTTCTTCTTAAAACCAGTGGTAACCACTTGGTGTCTGGGCTTATATAGCTCTTTTACCACCAGTCACAATTTTTTTTTGTGTCAGTGTTTCTTCAAATTAGGTAGCCCTGTGGGGAGATAAAGTTCCAAAGATCAAAAACAACTCAAATAAAAAGAACTACCGGAAGGGGGAATGATCCTTCCTTACTACCTTAACCCACTAAACTACTTGTACTTCCTTAACGGTCATACATGCATTCAAAAATAAAATCAAACAAAAATTCCTATCTTGCATAAAAAATAAAAAAGCATTCTCAAAACTCTAGCGTTATTGGTCGCCAAAAGTAAACTAACATTATATGGAGGAAAAATACCCTCTCTTCGCAACTTAACAAACATTCTACATTTATCCAACTCATACGTTTCACAGGCCAAAATAATGTGGTTAAGATCACAAAATTCTCCGCAACTGCAGTTTGGAGAATCCGCCATACCAATCCTATACAGATGTGCAGGAAACAAGCCATGTCTCACTCTCATGCGATTAATTGTAGATATCATGTGTTTAGATTCTGAAGGCAGTAGCTTATACCATGCCCCTTCTCTGACATCCCTTTTAATCAACCATAAGGCTCTGCCCTTGAATCTGCTACTATCATCCCAATCCCGCTGCCATAAATACAATACATCCCTCTTCAGTTCGAAGACAATGTCACTAACGTCTTTCCGTATCTGATACCATGGACCAGTCTCCCCCGCCGCCAGACCATCCGCCCTCTCATTCCCATCAATTCCCACATGGCCAGGAATCCAAGCCAACTCAATCTTCAGTTCTTCTACAGTACACTGCCAGCTAAGTTCTTTAACTTTGTTCACTAGATAATGTACCTTCGTCTTTCTTCCCATGGCCACCTCCAATGCACAGATCACAC